GTACCCGCCTCCTCATGCTGCTGCCAGGCCCGTAATCTGCCATGGGCCCCCGTACCGACTCCTCATGCTGCTGCCAGGCCCGTAATCTGTCATGGGCCCCTGTACTGCCTCCTCATGCTGCTGCCAGGTCCAGAGTGTGTCATGGATCAATGTACGGCCTCCCATTGCTGCTGTCTCCATCGCCACACTCTGCCATGTGCCACTTTCAGGTCTCCTCACACTGCTGGTGGGTTCCATTTTGTCTTAGGGTGCTGTATGGCCTCCCATTGCTGCTGCCTCCACCGCCACACTGTGGCTCCACACTCTGGTTTTGGCCCTGTGACTGCCCAAATGAGTGAAGTGTGCGGTGATTCTAAGATCGACGGCACTCATCTGCATGTCATACTGACTGACAGTATTATTTCTCTTCCCCAGCAGACTCCAAGGGCATTTAAATTAAAGGTACAGTGTTCTGCACTAATATAAAGGCTCTCTGAAGCCTAGAAACACCCTTTTTATAAGTTAAATTCGCAGCGAATATATTCGGCTCGAAGCGAATCTATTCGGCGAATTCGGCGAATCAGCCGAACCGAATTTTTGAATAATTCGCTCATCTCTATTTGCTACCTTCCCTGCATGTCAGTGCTGCAGCCTCCACCAGACTCTTCAGAATTCAACACTTTAAGATGTGTCGGATGCCTGTATTTCCCATGCCATGGTGCTTTATTTGACCCAAAAGTCCCTACAAGACCCAGCAGTGTCATAGCGGTTGGAAGAAGAAATCACATGGACACCGAAGTGGTGAATGCCAAATAGTTTCATGGAGGCTGCAGCAAAGGAGTAGAGGCAAGGCAGGAAACTCAGGCCATTATAACTCTTCCATTACAGGGACATTTATTTTTGATTTAACAGGGTCACCTGAAAGCATTTGGCCCAGATGGCGTACACCCATGTGTCCTCACAGAGTTTAGTTCAGTTATATCTAAGCTTTTGCTTTTCATTTTTCCAGGCTTGGCACATGGCCAATATGTTGCCATTTTTTTAAAAAAAGGATTAAGGTCTTCAACCTGTAACTACAGACCTGTAAGTTTACTGTCTACTGTAGGGAAGATACTTGAAGGTTTGCTAAAGGGCCGCATACAAGAGTGCATGATGGAATCCAACATCATAAGAGGTAGTCAGCCTGGATTTCTGAAAGACCAACATTACGTAACAATTACCCAATTATTGGGCGCAGGGTCACATTAAGAATGACATTCATATTCAGCGGGTAAGAGCAGGAGACATTCAGGACAACGTAATTTCGTTTTCGAATTGGATCCGTCTGGGCAGGTATATACAGCTGATTTGTGTATGTGACATGGGATGAATTCATCTGTAGAGAGGAAGCACATAAGTCATTAGATGAGGTCAGAAAACTCCCCGCCATACAGTGATCTGCACATTAGAAAGCAGTTACTAATAATGTCAGTTCAGTTTATTGCCTGAAAAGTCAAAAAGAAAAACTCTAGTTTTGTTAAAGCAGAACTCCGGCCCAAACCAACTAGATAAATATGAATAGCCCATCAAAGATACACTGGAATAGCAACTTTTGCTGCAATATTCAGGTTCAATCCAGAGATTTCCCCAGCAGTACTTTTTACCACTAGCTGTCCGTATTATGGTGGTCAGCATTATTCAACCCACTTCCTCTGAGTCCAAATCATCCTGGATCCACCACCAGCCTGTGACTGTACGGTAACAAGAGCAGCAAAGGACTGATAAGCTCATTTCTTTGTCTCTCTGCTCTCTCCTTCTATCAACATGCTCCTTGTCAGCACGTGAACTAAATGGCTCCTTGTGCTGCTTTTCCTTCTCCCAGTCTTAAGAGCCCTTTCACATGGGCAGACTTTGCCTAGCCGATCGATCTGCGTGCTCACCAGGGTATCTGTCTGCTGATCCCTTCTGAGCAGGTGAATGACAGGTCCATGTCCGCTCCACTTCTGCAGAACAGACACAACCTGTTGTTCTCTATGGGGTACTGCAAAGTAAGAACAAAAGAAGGTGCACCAGCCTTGCGCATTACCTCAGCAACAACATATTTATTAAAAGATAAAACCGGTGTATATTCACAAACACCAAAAAAATCACAAGCATGTCACATCCAATACTGGCCAATAGGACCAGAATCCTGTGCGCGTCCTGGATGAATGAAGATGCTAGGAAAATGGGTGAAGCATTTTGAAGGGAGATTCTCTCTTCTTTAGAACCTCAGAGAATGTTTGATCTTGCTTTGCAGTATTGTCCTGGGCTTCCCCCGCCTTCCAAAATGGCTGCACAGCATTGCCTATATTTGGTGAATCAATTTTATCAAGGAAGGTCTGTCCAAATTTGCCTGATCTGGGTTTCTAAACGCAAGAGGTTATTTGTTTTCCTTTGGCGGTTCTCTACGAGGATATAAACGTTTTTTAAACCTACTACAGAACAACTTTATGGTACAGTTCATAGAGGCCCCAACTAGGAATGATGCTCTGCTGGACCTGGTAATCTCAAACTGTCAAGGTCCTACCTTTTCCCAGAGGTTATGTTACTCCATGTGCTGGCATCCATCTTGGATCTCTGCTGAGCATGGTGGGAATCTTTTATGCCTTCAGGTCTCTGAGGTCCATCCCCCAGAGGGGTGTGGCTGAGTACATATAAGCCTGTGATCCGCACATGCTCTTTGCACTTGTGTCTTGTGTCTTGGTCTTGCTACAGCTCTGTGTATATGCTCGTGACTCTTCTGGTATTTGACTCGGCTTGTGACTAAGACCATTCTCTGTGTTTTCCTTCTCTCTGACCTTCCGTTGCTGAACCCGGTCCGTGACCTGTTATTCTCTGTCTACTGTTCTGTACCATTTTGTCCCGTTGTTGTCGACCCGGCTTGCCTGACTACGCTATTGTCATTCTCACCAGCTACACGCCATTGGCGGCGGCCATTACCGCAGCCGGGGTGTCTCGGGGGCCACGACCTGGTTCCTGGCTGCGTCAAGTCCATCCCCACCATCAGGGGCCCTGGTGAAGGGCAGCCTGGGACTTAGACTCTGCGCCCTGAGGGACTTCGGTCTGTTGGTGGTGGTTGTCGTCAGCCAGTGCGTTACCCTGCCACTAGGCCTACCTGTCCGTTCCACAGCCCTGCCCTGACACAAACCATGCAGAGCTTATTACGAATGTCCATATAAAAGAACATCTGGGTAGCAGTGACCATAACATGATTTCATTTATTGTTAGCTATAAACAGCAAGCACATACGGGAAGAATAAAAAACCGCTCAATTTTAAGAGAGCTAATTTTCCAAGGCTGAGAGCTGCACACCAAGACTTAGACTGGGAGGGAATATTGTCATCGATGAACACAACACAGAAATGGGAGTTCTTCAAAAAGACTATATATATGAACACACTGCAAAATATATTCCCATGGGCAACAAGTATAAAAGGCTAAAAATCAAAATGTGGCTTACGGACAAAGTTAAAAAAGCTATAGGTAATAAGAAAAGAGCTTTTATTAAGTATAAAAATGAAGTAACACGATCATCATTTACACATTACAAAGAATATAACAGAATGTGCAAAAAGGAAATAAATAAAGGTGCAAAAATTTAAAATGAATGACAGATTGCAAAAGATAGCAACTCCCAAAAAATTCTTCAGATATATTAATAGTAAAATAGGTCCTGTCCGAGCATGTAGGCCCTTTACAGAATCATCTAGAGGGGGTGACTGGGGAGAAATAGAAGGCCAATGTATGAAATCCCTTCTTCAGCTCTGTATATACAAAGGAGCATGGGGGGCTCTTGTCCATAATGGGCGTGGTACTGACACAGCCCCAGATGACCCACATTGGCTCACAATTGATATGATCCATAAATATTTAGACAGTATAAAGGTGAATAAAGCCCTTGGACCGGATGGCATACACCCACGGGGCCTTAAAGAATTGAGCTCTGTCAATTCAAAGCCATTGTTTCTAATTTTTAGGGACTCTTTACTGACTGGCATAGTACCACTGGATTGGCATAAGGCCAATGTGGGGCCAATATTTAACCACTTGCCACCCGACCATCATTTGACTGTATCTCTCATCATATGACGTCCTTCCTGGATTGCGCCTTGCTTGTGCCCGCAGGGCTGTGGTGTGGCGAGATCTGTCACCGGCTGTGTACCTCGGACACGGCCGATGACAGATCTGTGTACCGGCGCCATTACCAGTACCATGTGACCTGCTGTGACCAATCACAGCAGGCCACATGGCAGTTGTATACAATGGAGGGCTTCCTTTCATGCCATCCATTGTATACAAGTGTGTCTAGCTGTGAATGGTCACAGTGATCACATGCACAGGCTGGGCCAATCACAGCCCATCTGTGTCATGCGATTGGCCATGGCCAATCACAGCTAATCACAACAAAACAACCTGAATAAATCGATTTCATTCAGTTAAATGCTTGCTTATAGCAAATTACTTATAGCAAAGAATTTATCAAAATGTGTAAAAAAAAAACCCAAAAAACGTATCACTTCCCCTAAGTAGTACAATATTACTATGGTAACATTATACTATTTTGGTCATAGTGTAATATGAAAAAAAGTCTTAAAAAATTTTTTTTTTATAAAAAATAATAAAAAATTTTTTAAAAAAAATTATCAGGTTGTTTTTGTTCGTCCTGTTACCAGTCAGTGTCCCTGATCACCGCCACACCAGTAATATGCTGACGATGTACTGCTCTGGTGACAGTATGTAAAAAAAAAAATTGAAAAGAATTCTTTTAATTTCTTCATTTTTCAAAAAATTATTTCATAAAAATTACAACTTCAAAAAACTTGCCATGCCTCTTATGAAATACGTTGGACTGTCTACTTTGCAAAAAGGGGTCATTTGGGGGATATCTGTACTGTCCTGACATTTGGGGGGGATAGCTGTACTGTCCTGACATTTGGGGGATATCTGTACTATTCTGACATTTGGGGGGGGGACATCTGTGCCGTACTGACATTTGGGGGGGGGCATCTGTACCGTCGTGACATTTGGGGGGGGGACATCTGTGCCGTCCTGACATTTGGGGGGACATCTGTGCCGTCCTGACATTTGGGGGGACATCTGTGCCGTCCTGACATTTGGGGGGACATCTGTACTGTCCTGACATTTGGGGGATACCTGTACCGTTCTGACATTTGGGAGATACCTGTACCGTTCTGACATTTGGGGGATACCTGAACCGTTCTGACATTTGGGGGATACCTGAACCGTTCTGACATTTGGGAGATACCTGTACCGTTCTGACATTTGGGGGATACCTGAACTGTTCTGACATTTGGGGGATACCTGTACCGTTCTGACATTTGGGGGATATCTGTACTGTCTTGACATTTGGGGGATATCTGTACTATTCTGACATTTTTGGGCCTCAAGAAATTAGATTGGCCGTCAGTACTTCAGGATTGATCAATATTCAGATCTATCCCATAGTTTGTGAACTCTATAACTTTCCTACAAACTAAATAATAAATACTGATTTGGGTTATTTTCACCAAAGAAATAAAGCAGAATACATATCGGCCTAAATTTATGAAGAACAATTATTTCTTTGCAAACTTTTAAAACAGAAACAAAGAAACATGTTTATCTTTCAAAATGTTTGGTCTTTTTTTTGTTAATTTAGCAAAAAAATAAAAACCCCAGCGGTGATTAAATACCACCAAAATAAAGCTCTAGTTGTGTGAACAAAATGATAAAATTTTAGTTTGGGTACAATGTTGTATGACTGCGCAATTGTCATTCAAAGTGTGAGCGCTGAAACCTGAAACGGCCTGGGCAGGAAGAGGGTGACAGTGCCCAATATTGAAGGGGTTAAAAGGCATCAAAATCTTTCCCAAGTAATTATAGATCTGTTAGTGTAACTTCTATAGTTGGGAAGATACTGGAAAGTTTAATAAAAGACCACATAGAGGAGTTCTTGCTGGAAACAAATATTTTAAGCAACAGACAGCATGGATTCATGATAGACAGAAGTTGTCAAACAAATCTGATTTCTTTTTAATGAGGAGGTGAGAAAAACCTTGGACAGAGGGGCGGCGGTGGACGTGGTATACTTGGAAAGAGGGGCGGCGGTGGACGTGGTATACTTAGAAAGAGGGGCGGCGGTGGACGTGGTATACTTGGACAGAGGGGTGGCTGTGCACATGGTATGCTTGGACAGAGGGGTGGTTGTGGACGTGGTATACTTGGACAGTGGAGTGGCTGTGGACATGGTGTACTTGGACAGAGGGGTGGCTGTTGACATGGTATACTTGGACAGAGGAGTGGCTGTGGACATGGTGTACTTGGACAGAGGGGTGGCTGTTGACATGGTATACTTGGACAGAGGGGTGGCTGTGGACATGGTATACTTGGACAGAGGGGTGGCTGTGGACATGGTGTACTTGGACAGAGGGGTGGCTGTTGACATGGTGTACTTGGACAGAGGGGTGGCTGTGGACATGGTGTACTTGGACAGAGGGGTGGCTGTTGACATGGTATACTTGGACAGAGGGGTGGCTGTGGACGTGGTATACTTGAACAGAAGAGTGGTGGTGGACGTGGTATACTTAGAAAGAGGGGTGGCTGTGGATGTGGTATACTTGGACAGAGGGGTGGCTGTGCACATGGTATGCTTGGACAGAGGGGTGGTTGTGGACGTGGTATACTTGGACAGTGGAGTGGCTGTGGACATGGTGTACTTGGACAGAGGGGTGGCTGTTGACATGGTATACTTGGACAGAGGGGTGGTTGTGGACGTGGTATACTTGGACAGTGGAGTGGCTGTGGACATGGTGTACTTGGACAGAGGAGTGGCTGTGGACATGGTGTACTTGGACAGAGGGGTGGCTGTGGACATGGTGTACTTGGACAGAGGGGTGGCTGTTGACATGGTATACTTGGACAGAGGGGTGGTTGTGGACGTGGTATACTTGGACAGTGGAGTGGCTGTGGACATGGTGTACTTGGACAGAGGAGTGGCTGTGGACATGGTGTACTTGGACAGAGGGGTGGCTGTTGACATGGTATACTTGGACAGAGGGGTGGCTGTGGACATGGTGTACTTGGACAGAGGGGTGGCTGTTGACATGGTATACTTGGACAGAGGGGTGGCTGTTGACATGGTATACTTGGACAGAGGGGTGGCTGTGGACGTGGTATACTTGAACAGAAGAGTGGTGGTGGACGTGGTATACTTTGAAAGAGGGGTGGCAGTGGACGTGGTACACTTGGATTTTGCAAAAGCATTTGAAACAGTTCCCCACACACGGCTAATATGTAAGGTAAAGTCTACAGGCAGGAAAAATCCGAATGTAAATGGATAGAAAACTGGCTAAAAGATGGTATTCAGAGAGTAGTGGTTAATGATTCATACTCTGAATGGTCTAGGGGTGTAAGTGGTGTACCCCAAGGTTCAGTGTCATTAGTGGTGTACCCCAAGGTTCAGTGTCATTAGTGGTGTACCCTAAGATTCAGTGATATTAGTGGGGTACCCCAAGGTTCAGTGTCAGTAGTGGGGTACCCCAGGGTTCAGTGTTATTAGTGGGGTACCCCAAAGTTCAGTGTTGGGACCCTTACTTTTTAATCTATTTATAAACAATATCGGGTCTGGGATTATAAATCCCATTTCAGTGTTTGCAGATGACACCAAGCTGTGCCGGGGAATAACGTCCTTCCAGGATGTCTCCAACTTACAAGCCGACCTCAATGCTCTGTGTAATTGGGGACTATGGGGCCAATGAGGTTTCATGTTGATAAATGTAAGGTTATGCACTTGTGGGCTAAGAATATGCATGCATCATACATACTAGGGGGGGTACAACTGGGGGGGTCAATGGTGGAGAAGGATCTTGGGTTATCAATGGTGGAGAAGGATCGGGGGAGGGGTTAATGGTGAAGGATCTTGGGGGGTTAATGGTGGAGAAGGATCTGGGGGAATCAATGGTGGAGAAGGATCTGGGAGTTCTGGTAGATCACAAGCTTAATACTGGCAGCAATGCCAAGCTGCGGGTTCTAAAGCGAGCAAAATTCTCTCTTGTATTAGGAGAGGTAGAGACTCCAGAGAGAGAGAGAGATATCATATTACCCCTCACCCCCCCCCCCAGACGGTGCAAAACATTAAAAAGACCTCATCTGGAATATGCAGTTCAGGTTTGGGCACCAATTCACAAAAATAACATTGGGGTACTGGAGAAAGTACAGAGAAGGGCAAGCAAACTGATACGAGGCATGGAGGAGATCAGCTATGAGGAAAGATTAGAGGAACTGAATTTATTATCTAGAGAAGAGGAGATTAAGGGGGGATATGATCTCCATGTATAATACATAAGGGGGGATATGATCTCCATGTATAATACATAAGGGGGATATGATCTCCATGTATAATACATAAGGGGGGATATGATCACCATGTATAATACATAAGGGGGATATGATCTCCATGTATAATACATAAGGAGGATATGATCTCCATGTATAATACATAAGGGGGGATATGATCTCCATGTATAATACATAAGGGGGGATATGATCACCATGTATAATACATAAGGGGGGGATATGATCTCCATGTATAATACATAAGGGGGATATGATCTCCATGTATAATACATAAGGGGGGATATGATCTCCATGTATAATACATAAGGGGGGATATGATCTCCATGTATAATACATAAGGGGGGGATATGATCTCCATGTATAATACATAAGAGGGGGATATGATCTCCATGTATAATACATAAGGGGGGGGGAAAGATCGCCATGTATAATACATAAGGGGGGATATGATCACCATGTATAATACATAAGGGGGGATATGATCTCCATGTATAATACATAAGGGGGGGATATGATCTCCATGTATAATACATAAGGGGGGATATGATCACCATGTATAATACATAAGGGGGGGATATGATCTCCATGTATAATACATAAGGGGGGATATGATCTCCATGTATAATACATAAGGGGGGATATGATCTCCATGTATAATACATAAGGGGGATATGATCTCCATGTATAATACATAAGGGGGGATATGATCTCCATGTATAATACATAAGGGGGATATGATCTCCATGTATAATACATAAGGGGGGGATATGATCTCCATGTATAATACATAAGGGGGGGATATGATCACCATGTATAATACATAAGGGGGGGATATGATCTCCATGTATAATACATAAGGGGGGATATGATCTCCATGTATAATACATAAGGGGGGATATGATCTCCATGTATAATACATAAGGGGGATATGATCTCCATGTATAATACATAAGGGGGGATATGATCTCCATGTATAATACATAAGGGGGATATGATCTCCATGTATAATACATAAGGGGGGATATGATCTCCATGTATAAATACATAAGGGGGATATGATCTCCATGTATATTACATAAGGGGGGATATGATCACCATGTATAATACATAAGGGGGGGGGGGGGGATATGATCTCCATGTATAATACATAAGGGGGGGGGGACATGATCTCCATGTATAATACATAAGGGGGGATATGATCTCCATGTATAATACATAAGGGGGGATATGATCTCCATGTATAATACATAAGGGGGGATATGATCTCCATGTATAATACATAAGGGGGGGGGATATGATCTCCATGTATAATACATAAGGGGGGGGATATGATCTCCATGTATAATACATAAGGGGGATATGATCTCCATGTATAATACATAAGGGGGGATATGATCTCCATGTATAATACATAAGGGGGATATGATCTCCATGTATAATACATAAGGGGGATATGATCTCCATGTATAATACATAAGGGGGGTATGATCTCCATGTATAATACATAAGGGGGGATATGATCTCCATGTATAAATACATAAGGGGGATATGATCTCCATGTATATTACATAAGGGGGGATATGATCTCCATGTATAATACATAAGGGGGATATGATCTCCATGTATAATAATACATAAGGGGGGATATGCTCACCATGTATAATACATAAGGGGGATATGATCTCCATGTATAATACATAAGGGGGGATATGATCTCCATGTATAATACATAAGGGGGGATATGATCTCCATGTATAATACATAAGGGGGGATATGATCTCCATGTATAATACATAAGGGGGGATATGATCTCCATGTATAATACATAAGGGGGGATATGATCACCATGTATAATACATAAGGGGGGATATGATCTCCATGTATAATACATAAGGGGGATATGATCTCCATGTATAATACATAAGGGGGGATATGATCTCCATTTATAAATACATAAGGGGGGGATATGATCTCCATGTATAATACATAAGGGGGGATATGATCTCCATGTATAATACATAAGGGGATATGATCTCCATG